TAGATATGATCTATGATATACGTATGAAAATGACACGTGTGCAAATCTTACAGAAAACTTTACAATTATTCATGCTTTTTAAAAGCACATTTTTTAGAAAACTTATTCAGAAATCAAATATTACACGAAAATAAAATGAGTATAAAGGAACATAAAAGTACTGTTGGTCCGTAATCCGGATTTATGTATCCTGTCAGTTTAAGGTTTTGTTTTATAGGATGAAGCCAAAAGTGAAAGTAGAGTTAAAGACGTGACTTTCTTTTCTCCTTAGACTTAAAAAAATGATTTCTTATTTATTAGGTGGAATAGCTACACAATATTTGTGATTAACAGTTTTATCATGCAATGGTAGGTTTTGAAAATGTTAACTTCAAATATATTAATTGAAAAAACGAACATTATTTAAAAGCTACGGTAAACACTAAAACAGGTAAAAGAATCTCAAAAGTCACACTGGACTTACATATCAAAACAACACGTTTAAATTATCTTTGTAGATGCAGTTCTTTGTCCAGTTTCTCAGCAGGCATGTTTTAAAGGAAGCACATTTCTGTGTGACTTTTAGGAGAGCTGTTGCGAAAGATTACAAACAAATTCACCAAAAGGTAGGGCACAACTGAGCTTCCTGTTTGTGATAAACTCTCTTGAATTAATTTTTCCGCGATTCATCAGACAATTCAAATCAAGCGAGTCTGTAGAGAGGACTCTAAATGGTTTGAAGGTGGATAAATCTTAAAATATAAACAGAATGGTAGAAGAATATATTGATAATTAAGGAGTGAAAGGTAGATGATTGACGAATGCTGGAAAGTGGAGAAATTCTCCCCAACAGTGTGCAAAACACCCTGTGCCATAAATTGCACATTTTTTGCATAAGGGAATCTGTAGCAACAGTGGTGTTACGGTCAAAAACTAAAATATAAAAACCATAAAGCTACAGTTCTGCAGAGATCCTTGCATATACTAAATCATTCAAACTTATATTTGGAGGACTTGAAATCCAGATAGAAAAGTAACTATAAACATATATATTTCAAATATTTGTTTTCCAAATAGAATATATATATTTTTCTAGCTGTAAAATCCCAGTGTGGAGGGGGTAGCTTGCTTGATTGTCTTGTACTGTGAACCAGCTCAATTTAATTTCGCTAGAGATATATGCAAGTTTCATAGTGTTCCTAAATTCCTAAAAATTTCTTGCTTGGAACAATAATTTTTAAGGCTGGGCAAAAATATTTATATTTCGATATACATGTATTGCAATACAATGAATGACAAAAAAAAAGTATTGCAATATGTTTTTGTTATATTGATATACCTGCAGAGTTCTTAGACTAAGAAATTTTATCATTAAATGTAAAAATACATGAAGGAAAGGTTTGTTATGAAGACAAAAAGTACAACAGAAGCTGTTTTATGGGTGTATTTTAGAGTATAACCTAAAAAAATCAAGTTTTTTTTGCTTTTGGTTACTGATCATAGTTATGTTCATTCTGTATATAAATGAAAGGTATTATGATAAGAAAAGGCCATTTTATTTTCATTGAAAATATTGCAATACATATCGCAATACAGTTAAATATATTGCAATATATCGCAATACGAAATCTCTGGCCAATACCCAGCCCTAATAATTTTCATGCAATTAATATGTAGAAAGTTTCTTCATTCGTAAAAGTTGTGTAGGTAGCTTTCAAACTTTGGAATAATGAAGACACATAATAAAATCACTAATAAAAGTTGGTTTACTGTAAACATATGTGTAAGCTGATACAAGGTCATACTAATTTTGAAACAGTTTTTAAACAATGATATAAAATGCTGTTAATAATTTTTTATAAATCTTTTTATCATTAGTTAAATCTGACAGCAGCAAACAGAGAGATAAACTTGAAACTTTTGGAAGAACATGGCTACCAGCCTCACTCAGACAGAAACCAGGAAAAAGTGTTGGAATGGGACAAGACAAAACTGGAGTTCTTCATCCTAAAACTAACAGCTGCCTCGAGAAGGATCTACATATGCCCCTCGCTGCTTCTGTTTGTGAATGGATCATACCACCCTGTGGGGGGACCATGGGACAAAGACGCCAGGGGGGCCATAAAAGAGTTCTCCCGCAATATCCTCAGGGAAAAGTTAGCAAAGAAGATTGACGAAGTGTACGGAAATGAACCATTTGTGGAAGACGTTCACCAGAGGTTTTGTAAGGTTTGCAAATACAACGAAAGTATGGAGAAGCTGGACCTAATTAAACAGTATCAGATGCAGTCTAATGTAAGAATCGCAAAAAGAGTTGTCACCCTGACCAAAGAGAAACTTATTGCTGAACTGGAAAAAATGGACAAAAGCTTAAAAGAGAAACTTTGCATCATGGAGGAAGATCCTGAAGACAAAGAAGATAGTGATGTGAAGGAATTACTTGTGATGTTATGTAAGAAACACAATTTACTTCACAACATAGAAAATACAAGGGAGATAATTCACATCTTGTTCAAGTTTGGTTTTAAGTATCACGAAATTGCCCTTGCAGATCCCCGTATTTTTCGAATCACTTATGTTAACACATTTGTACAAGTGTTGTCAGAAATGTGTGAAAATACGAATTTAGATTACGAAAAAATAGGTTCTACAGTGGAAAAAACTAGACCCCGATATGTAGGTAGTGTCATGTTAGGCAGTTCTTTAGACATTTCAAAGAAACACGTCCAAGAAATGAGACAACCTTTCAGAACAATCAGAACACACCATTTTTCACGGAATCCCGAAAAAGTTGTTGAAAATGTGACATTCCTAAAGGAGGCTGGATTTGATCCATATGTAATTCTAAACTGTCTCCTAATCACAAACTTTGACCATAATTCTTTGCAGGAAGCATACGTTGATGCTGTGAAGGAATTTGATTCTTGTTCTTTGAGTATTGACAGTTCTACTGCAGTGAAAATGAGCTTGCTTTGTCACATGTATCTGGAATTATCCAAGGAGCCGGATAAACCTGTGGATCTGGATGAGATTGGATGTGATGATTTATCCAAACCGGATCTGGATCTGCCTCCAGATGAGGATGATGAAGAGGACCTGGATTCTGCTCACCTTTATCTACAATACAGTCAGTAGGACTGTATTGTATACTTATATATACAGTTCGGATAATTTTATAGGATTGTAATATATACCATGTATACCGTCCACATACTCTGTTTAACATGTTTATTAAATATCATTCATATTCTGGAACTTTTTGTAAATTTGTTGAAGTATTGAATTTTAATTTATGAAATACTAGTAAAATGATTTTATATTGATATAATACATGTACATAAAATATTAACATTGCTAAATTAAGACTTTTCAAAATATCCATGTTCTACAATGTACATTTAAATAAATTTTGATATGTTAAGCTGAATATGTTACAATATTCTTTGTAAAGATATTTCATGAAAGGATTATTAAATATATATCTATAACCTCTTAATAATTGTTCTTACTGTGAAAAATATTTTTGTCACCTTTGCTGCAATTGCAACTGCATGTGCCTATACACTGTCTCTTACAGGAATTAAACATAATATCTGGAAACAATTTCTTGCAATACATTTTATAAATATTTTCCCTTGAATACGGGGCATTTTAGGGCCATATTATAGTTCATGTATTAAATTTCAGTAGAAAAACGAAAAAAAACTGAAGTCTTCTTTGAAAACTGCTACTTGCAATGGATGGATTTATGGCTTTGTCACTTTTGGACTTCCAAATCTTGATGTCGTGACTAAGATAACAAAAATTTTATAGAGAAATTTCAGAATTACGTCTTTCAGAATATATAAGTGTTACTCTTAAGACAGAATGTATTAATTTATGATCATGACCTTTTGACTTCAAGATATTACATGTAGGTGTCTTTGGAGGTGTGATAGATCAAGATCAAACTAATAAGGCTTTTTGAGAAATCTTTAGGAAAAACAAGGTTTTTATATGTAAATATCTCAAGAAGCCATTGAGCTTTTGCAAAGCAATTTTTTTTTTACCACAAATCCCAATGCTAAATAAGTTTCAAAATTCATTTGAGGTCAAAAGGTTGACAAAAAATTTTAAATTGCAAATAACATTTTCCAGATGATAGCTTTAGTTTTCTTTAGCCTTCTTCAATAAAAAATATATTACCACAACTCCCTGTGGCCTGATGGTATACTAAAGATTTGAAATCTATCCTATTCTATACTGACACGCAAAAGAAACGCAACAAATGGTAATCTACAAATGTTTAAATTTTCTATCTAATGATATACAAAAAAGAATTTAGTAAGGCTAAACTCACTTTTCAGAACATCAGAGATTTTATAAAAATGTTAAATTTTTATCTTTTAACTTTACTAAGTAACATATGACTGTTAAAACACCCCCCTCCCAGCCATTCAATTACAAGGTGCAAGACTGCCCTAAAAACATTTGCAACTTAATTTCTACGATACAATAGGTTAATCAATATCGATATCTGAACGAAGGAATTATTCTTTGCCATTTTTAAATGCCTGTTTTTCAGATGATTAGGTCAAATTTTCTCTAACTTAGCGCATTGTAGTAACTCTTGGACTTGCGGTCCAAGGACTATCATTTATGCATATGATACACAAGACCCTGTTGAGGCGTAATGCAGTGTATTTTTGCATCATCAACTCTCCATCACCTTTACGTTGAGATTTTCCAGTTAGAGCAATAGAAATGCGTACTTTAGCCATTTTCGAGAAGCCTTAGCATCATTACAAAACGAAAGGAGATTTTATTTTTTGAAATATTGCTGCATTACTTAAGATGAACAGTACAAACCCTTAAAACTCCATAATATTGCCGAATGTTTTGTTACACATGCAATTTTTGATTTCTGTTAAGCAGACTCAAACTTGACTTCCGGTTATGGTATGAAAATCGTTCAACCGTTTAGTTACCGATATTTACCAAATTAAGATATCCATAATTTTAAGATACAAAATTCTTTACTTTACATAATTATTTCCCCCTAAAGTAGGGTGTTGCGTTTCTTTTGCGTGTCAGTATATAAATAAACACTTGCAATTGATAAGAAAACAATTTCAGCATTTCATTTTTAATGAAATACACATGATTATACAAGATATGAACACAAGAATATTTTAACAAGAGGCCCCTGGGCCTTATAGGTCACCTGAGCATTATTCAACAACTTTCCAGTGACTGAATTTGATCCATGTTTTAAGCCAGATGCTATAGCATTTACGATCTGGTCATCATAACTATACACTTAGCAGTTCCTTAGTTTGGTTACTTTATACCCATAGGCAGGGTAGGGGAACAAAAAATGCATTTCAACTGATCAGTAATATTCAGCAATAATCAGTAGTGCCGCTACCACACATGAACCCTTGACTCTTAGGCCTAGATCCACACATTGCACTATTTTTGGAAAGGCATACTTGCTTTTCAAAAATATTTGATTAATACCAAGGAGCACATTTCAAACAATTCATTCATTTTCAGTACATAAGTACAGCCCCCCCCCCCCCACTATGGTACAACTGACCCTGGGGCCTTGAAATTTACAATTCTTGAAGATTAGGGATTGCTCATAACTATATAGGTAATTCATCTGCTTAAAACCTAGGAGCAAAGATGAAAATATTCAAAGATTTAATGTTTTTTCACTATACATGTATAATCAATACAGCCCTGCCCTAACACCAGAATCCCTGACCCTGGGGCCATAAAATTCAAAATTTTGGCAGAGGCACTCTTGTTCATCATAACTATGTACTTAGTTAGTTTATTTAATAACAAGGAGTAAAGAAGAAGATTTTCAAAGAATTCATGTATTTCCTCTATATAATCAATAGAGCCCCACCCTAAAACCAGAACCCCTGACCCTGGGGCCATAAAATTCACAATTATGGTAGTGGCACTCTTGTTCATCATAACTATGTACTTAGATAGTTTAATATATAAAACCTAGGAGCAGAGAAGAAGATTTTCAAAGAATTCATGTATTTTCACTATATAATCAATAGAGCCCCGCCCTAAAAACAGAACCCCTGACCCTGGGGCAATAAAATTCAAAATTTTGGTAGAGGCACTCTTGCTCATCATAACTATGTACTTAGTTAAATTATATAAAATCTAGGAGCAGAGAAGAAGATTTTCAAAGAATTCATGTATTTTCACTACATAATCAATAGAGCCCCGCCCTAACACCAGAACCCCTGACCCTGGGGCCATAAAATTCACAATTTTGGTAGAGGCACTCTTGCTCATCATAACTATATACTTAGTTAGTTTATTTAATAATACCCAGGAGTAAAGAAGAAGATTTTCAAAGAATTCATGTATTTCCTCTATATAATCAATAGAGCCCCACCCTGACACCAGAACCCCTGACCCTGGGGCCATAAAATTCACAATTTTGGTAGAGGCACTCTTGCTCATCATAACTATGTACTTAGTTAGTTTATTTAATACCCAGGAGCAGAGAAGAAGATTTTCAAAGAAATAATGCATTTTCACTATATACTTATTTAGCCCCGCCCTAGTACAAGAACCCCTGACCCCAGGGCCATGAATTTCACAATTTTGGTAAAGGACTCAATGCTGATTACAATCATGTAAACAGTTTGACTGCTTGATGTCCAGGAGTAAAGAAGAAGATTTTTGAAGATTGCATTAATTTTAGTGGTTTTGGCCCCACCCCCCAGGCCCCAGGGGGGCAGGGATCATGAAATTCACAATTTTTGTTCCCCTTCACCCATAGATGCTTTGTGCCAAATTTGGTTGAAATTGGTTCAGTGGTTGCAGAGAAGAAGCTGAAAATGTTCAAAAGTTTACGACCGATTGACGACGAACGACGAACGACGTACGACGAACGACGGACGACGACGGACAAAAACAGATAGCAATAGGTCACCTGAGTTTACTCAGGTGACCTAAAAAGGATGACTGTCTTTGCACCCTTGTTATGCCCTTCGTAGATGCCTCTTCCACAATAACTGTGTGGCCTGTTCTATGAAGTTTATTTATCACATCAGTGACCCAAAGTTTTCACCCCTGGCCAGCATAGTCTCTAGGCACACTGTATCTCAGGTTTAATGGCCGGGGTGGGGGTTTCCTCTTTAACAGGGGAAACTTCTGACCCAGTCAATAGTTGAGCACTAAGTTTAAATAGTTCTTTATCTGGCATGGGAGGATTAAAAGACTGGTCCAAGTTCTGAAAGATGAAACAGGAAAGTGACAATCAATGAATCAAGCACACAGTCATACATTGGCATGTTTAAATCTACCCTGTATTTTTGTTGACTTCTAAATAATACAGCTAGATCTGGCAAAAAAATATTTGCATCCCAAATCAAAGTCAGTCTTTAATTTTAAGTTAATATGTTAGGTTCAATATGGAATACATTTTAGCAGATATTTCTCAGACAACATGCAAGCAATCTCACCGAGTCCACTTTGCAGAGTTTGCGTCGGATTTCCAGGTCTTTCCTGGCACACAGTGCCCTCCTGAAGTTACCAATGTTACGTAAAATGTTAGACTTAGAGGTCATCGAAGATGAGCCGGTCTGGACTTTCCTCAGGGAATCCTCTAATTGGAATTTAACCGGCTCTGAGGGTTTAACCTCTTGACCCTGTGACCCTGAAAATGACACAAACATTATGCAAATTAACACTGTAGCTACAGCAGATTTTCAAAATGGTGGTTTGTATTCATATTCAGTGAAGGCCCTGTTTCTTCATGACTTTTATATACAAATTAGCTCTATTTATTACATGTAGCTCCCTCTGAATCCTATAAAATTATTTTAGAAGCATCAGTATATTTGAATATGAACTAAGAAGAACCACCTACCAACTGTATATACATGTATATGATCGACCAAGTTATATATTCTTATATTAATAATTCAAATCAAATTATGCAAATAAGAATATCACAAAACACACAACCCTTTCTATAGAGACAGCTATGTGTTCTTCAGTTTTAAACCTTAACATGTTTTATAAAAGTGAACAAACCTCCAGAATTTTCCTCTCTCTGTTTCTCTAATTCCTGCTGACAAGAATTCTGGATCTTTTGGAACAATTTGTCACCGGCAAACTCCTTGGAAACTCCCAGCTTGGCAAAGATGGCCGGTGCCCTGAACCGTTGTAAAGCTGAACCGGTACTGGCTGGTTTAGGTTGAGAGGA